TTTTTTTTTTTTTTTTTTTTTTTTAATTAATTAATTTTACGACTCCCAACTTGGATGAAATGTGTGAAATGTCACTCGAATGGAACTCCATTTGGGGGAGGCGATGCGGAGCAGACAATTTTACTGCCTTCAGAAAAAAAAAAGGACGCCCTGTCCCTCGCCTTGTGCAAAAAGGGCGTATCATAATTAGGGTACATCCTTCAAGTGGAGAATAAAACCGGCACGTGTACTTCTAAGCCGTATTTGTGTGTGTGTTTGCTTCTGCTTAACTGAAGACGGGCTGTGGGATTTTATCCCTTCCCCCGTTTCCCCTCGAGGACTTGCTAAGCAAGACCTGAGCGACTCACTTGTGTTCACACGTGCTGCGCACCCCACACATTACGCTTTGTACCCCGCGCAACATGAGCGAGACCAAAAGGACGGTGCTCCTGGCGGAGAAAAGATATGACGAGGGACCGACCTCCGTGACGAACAAAAATATTCTCTTCAAGGAGCACAAACATGCAAACGAATTCCGGGAGACCTTTATTAACATCGACACGGACTACAGCCTGGACAGTGAAAAGGAAAAAAATAACATCCCCCTACTGAAGGTGTTTAAAAAAAAGTTAAGAGAAGAGAAGGCATGCACTAGAGTGTTGATCCTCTTCCAAACATCGAGGGAAGCAAGTAGGAGGAGTTGTGTGAAGGAGCGTCTGCTCAATATGCTACAGCAACACTACAACCAAACAATCACAGGTGTGTGTATCTTTGTCAACGTGCACTCCATCATGCTGCTAGAATGTGTGGAAACGAAAAATGTGTTCTCCTTAATTAAACAGCTAAAAGGGGTGAAGAATGTGTCCGCGGTGCAGGTTTTATATTTCAGCGAGTTGAACAAGAAGAGCGTGACGGACCACTTTGCCTTCTTCGAGTACACTAAGGAGCAGCCCAAGGGCGCGCCCCTCCCCGGCGAGCACAACTACGTGGAAGAGGTGGGCGCGCGGGGTGCCTGCAACGTCACACGAACAACGTCACACGAATAACGTCACACGAATAACGTCACACGAATAACGTCACACCAACTTCACACGAACAAGTGAATGATCATGAGGTCCACTTGGACGCAAAAGCGGCCCATCAATTATACCCTTCTGCATTCGCGTCCTCCCCTCTTCACTCTGTTCTTACCAATATACACTTCCCCCGCGCAGGTGTGGGAGCTGTACATAACGACCCTGCAGTTCTGCTGCCTCGTGAAGAAGAACTCAGAGCATCAGGACATCCTCGACAAAAACGAAAACATTAAAAAGAACTTCGCCCTGCTGCCCCACTTGTATAGCGACGCCGCCAGGCAGTACTTATGGACCGCCGACGGTAATGAGATCAGCGTGGGGGATATATGTGTGTGTGTAGGGGGGGGGGGAGATAAGAGGAAAAGGGGTACAAGTGATAAAATGGACAAAGGGGTGTCAGGAGTGCATGCGCCACTGTGATGTATGGTCCGAATTACATCCTACTGCTCGTAACACAAAAGAAAAGATTTTGCATCCCTCAAGATATTCTCCCCTCATCACGATGTTTGCATCACGAGATGTTTCCCCCCTTCGCAGAGTTCATCTCGTTCTTTATGGAGGACTTCCAACTTCCCGTGGACGACTTCTCGGACGATTTTCTGGACCTGTGACGGTGGGGTTGGGAAGGCATCGGCCCATCGCCGCGTCGCCCTGATAGCGTCTTAGCACTTTTTGGCTACCCGCGCGGTACTGAGCAGAGAGGCGTGCAAGGGTGCTTTGGGGTAAGTCCAACCCTAGAGCTGTGTCAATTAGCTGGTCCAGCTCCACGTGCCTGGATAGGACCTTTAGCCTGTTCAGGATCCCCTCAAAGGATTCGCCAAGTATAGCCTCCTCTTGCAATTTGAAGTAAGCCAGAGCTACCTTAAACAAAAACGAGGGACCATAAATGAAAAAAAAATCCCATATCCTAACTAAATAAACAATGCTAATGCTGTAGGAGAAGAGAGTAACAAACCATTGGGAGGCAAACATGCTCGAGTGTACGTTTTCCTTCTTCAGATGCAAGTATGTCTTGGGGAAAAATACAAGCAGCAATTGGTCTAGGATGAACAGATCCTCATTTAACAAGGACATATCAGAAGAGAAAAGATCATTCAGATTGTATTTGTGTATTAAAGCTATTAACATAAAAAATGCATCCTCTTCATTCATGTAAAGAATAAAGGTCGCCACGATGAATGCCATTCCTTGGCAGTAACCTAAACTTTTGTTATAATTACTGTAAGCCTTTAGAACATTAAAAAGTATTTGCTGACCTTGTTCATAATTATTTTTAAATAAAATGTGTTTAGGATATGTCCTGTTCATATCTTTTTTGATTGTAGTTTCGTATTGGTTAGTTATGCTCAAGTAATACTGGTACATACTCCTTCTACACTCATTTGAATCATTTTTTTCTGTAACTTTATTCTCCTTTTTGTATTCATATGACTGTACTAAAATCTGCCATACGAATCCTCTCAAGTGATCGGGCACTCCTTTCTTTACCTGTTCCTTTATGTACCCATCAACATGTTTGCTCATGCAGGTAAAATAATTTTTCTTTTTTTCAACACAGAGGGTAGTAATTGCATTGGAGAGTTTACCTTTGGTGCTGCTGGAGAGGTTGTAACTACTCAATGGGCTTTTTCTATCCCTTTTGCAAAACGGCCCCAAGTCATCTGTTTTGTTTATCCCCCCAGTGTAGCAGCTACTACCAACCTCTGAAGTGATGTGATGCTTTTGACTCGAACTTTTATTACAATGTCCTTCCTCTTTATTTTCTGCGCCTCTCTCATTTGGTTTGTCATCCTTGTGTTCACTTTTCACGGGCACACTTTGCGTACCATTTGTTCTCTCTCCCCCGCTGGCATAATTTCCTACACTGGATAAGCATTTTTCCCTCTTATTACCACTCTCTTTGTTCTCACCATGACCAACCTTTGAAGGCAACGCACACTCCTTCCTGCTCAGAAGTTTCCCCCTTTCCTTCCTAGACACTGTTGTCGTGCCATTGTTTTCAGTTTTTTTCAAATTAAAATAGTTATCGTACGATAAAGGTGTGGTTAAAAAAAAGGACAATTTACTTTTACCTGTGTTAACACTGGTCGGCGTCGTTTCCTTGTGGTCCCTACTCAAGTTCGTTCCATCCGTTTTGCTTTTCCCTTCTGCGCCCTCGGTTTGTTTCGCGCTGCCCGCTGACGCTGCTCCTGCTGCTAACATTTCTTGCTGAATTAACTTCTTCAAGTGAAACAGCTCCATCTTCTTCTCATATATGTGGTTCCATGTTTTTATTTTCTGGATATCCGCCGCAAAGTTTCGAACGCTGTCGTTTGCTTTCATTTGGTATCACCCCAGCATGGGAGGAGGACAGGGGATGGTTACAAAGTGGGGGGCCAAAATTGCCCGCGTCAACCGTTTCATCAGCTTGACGGAGCCTCCAATTGGAAGAGGCACAAAATGGGGATAGCTTGTGCTAAATAGTTTTCTCAAACTGTTCAAATGAAGATACACACAGGGGTTGTGTCCAAGCGAATTGCAAATTGGTGTGGGGAGGAGTCAGCCAAAAGGTGGAAAAAAAAAAAAAAGTCAGGTAAAAATAGAAAAAAAAAACAGAAAGTCAGGTAAACAGCTAAAAAAAAAAAAAAAAAAAAGTCAGCTAAAAAGTGGTGAAAACAGTCATCTTAAAAGCGGCTCAACAAAAACACATTCGTGCGAATTTCACACTGTGCCTGGAATTCCTGTGTGCCAGACGGGGTATTCCCTCCACAGGGCACACATGCCCTCTTTTATCTTCCCTAATTGTCCTGTGGTACCTGCCAGATTAGGAGGTAATTGCTAGCTGCGGAAGGGGACAAAAGGGAATGAACACACAAAAATGGGGCTACGGCGCGGAAAAAATATTTCCCATCAGGCATAATCACACATACGTAAGAAAAAAAAAAAAAAAAAAAAGAGAGAGACGGTGTCCTCGCGGAAAAAGTGACGCGAAAAACTTACTCGTTACAAACGCTACTCGGTTGTATACCCATTTTACAAACAAAACGTGATTGTCAATTTTTTTTTTGCACAAGGGGTTTCCCTTTATGTCCCAGACGTGGAGGTTTCCATCTCTTCCGCCTTCACGAAAAGGGGAAAGAATAGTCGCAATGAAGGTGTGACCACGGTGCGGTGGCTTCGTGGAACACACGCCACAACATTGTTTGCGATGGAGGGGTTCCCATAAGTGGTACCAAAGGTGACCAGCCTCTTTAAACGGGGAGGTTACAAAACGACGTGCAACAAATGTTGCACAACTCGTGCACATCGCGCATGGGAACTCACCGCAGAGCACATAATTCGAGTCGAACGAATAAATTGGGTAGGAAGGTACAATGGGCGAAGCGAGCGGAGAGCTGCTATCGTAGAGGAAGCTGTACGAGTAAAGCACATCCCCTGTGTAGGCGTCCAACGTGTAAATGCAACAGTTTTGTGTCGCTATGAGCATTTTTTTTTCATCGAATGAAAAGTCAATGTGTGTGCACACATTATTATTTGCCGTCAGTTTAGTAATATCAAAATTGGCAAAAAATTCATCATTGTAATCATCGCCAAAACAACTACATAAGTAAATGGAATTCGTACTGACAGTGTAGGCGTAAATAATGCCTGTCTTGTTGTAGCTAGCTATGCACTGTTCATTGTTTACACTGGTCTTGTAGAGAGTAGTTTTGTCCCTTACGTGTGTAACTATGAGTTCTTTACTCCTCAACGCTACGATGAAGATGTGTGTGTTTGGGTGCAAGACAAAGCTGTTGTCAACAATTTCGCTAAGAAATTCAAACACGTGTATCACCTTCTTGTGTAGCAAATGGAAATGATATATTTTGCATTTTTTTTTTTTGTCATATGCACTGAAAAGACATTCATTCACTTGGCACTCTGTGGCTGTGTCCGTACTCTCCTCCAAACCACTTTTTAATAACTTCACGTCATTAATTACTATGTCTTCAATGCTGTATGTTAGTTTTTCCCTTTTTTCATTCACATCGTAAATCTGTATCACATTCTTCGTGTTCGTCGTTGCGATTAAGTTGTTAAGCAAATCTATGCTGGTTATGTACCCCTCATTTGGGAAGGACGCGTACAGGTCAAATCTGGGGGGATGGGCAGTACACAAAAGAAAGAAAAAATAATAATAATAAATAGATAAACAGGTAGGCAGATAAATGGGTGCATAGCTAGCTAGATCAGGTGAAGGACCTCGCGCCAAATACACGCCCTGCTGATACCAGCTAGGGCATTGGGCACGTGTGACATTTGGCGTTAGTTGCCGAGCCGCTTTGCCTGGTCAGCCTTTTCCCTACCGTTTCATACGCACGTGGTCAATACCACCTTCTTCACCCATTGTAAGTTTCTTTCTGTGTTAGATCGAACTAGTCGCGTGGTCGAAGCGGGTTCTCTCTCCCATGTGCGCATATACATCTAAGGGCATACTCTCTTATGCTGCTTATCCTCCAATTGTCGACGTCTGCAAAGTCGGGTTGGGCTGGTACCTACGATCCTCTTTGTCGTTTTTTTTCAAGTAGCACTCCGTGCTGGGTAAGCGCGACTCGCCATATTAAGTGTGCTCTTCATGCTATACAGTCTTCGCACCCAAAAAAAAAAAAAA